CAGAAAGAAAAAAAAATGTGTTCATATCGTCACATATTTATTTTTTTGACAGCTCCTTTGACAGCTGCAGATTTTTGGACAGGAAAACTAATGTGTCAATATTGTCACTTGATAGTCTGGATCTTAGTGGGCTACAGATGAGGCCAGAGGTACTGAAAACTCTCTCAGAGGCTGAGCTTGATGCTGGAATGCAAAGGTAGTATTTGGCATACATTGAAAGGATGTGGAGGCTTGATTCATGCCTTTTCCACCAAGAAAGTGGGTTTTCTGTGGCATTGGTCTCTTCCATGGACTTGTACATTTGGAGTTCTTTGTTCAGTCTGTCAGCTGGGTTCTCTAGAGCATCGGTTCCCAACAGGGGGGTCGCGGCCCACAAGGGGGCCTCAGCGAGCTCCGTGGGGGGTCGCGTCATATTTTGAAAAGTTTTGAGCAATGAGCATTAAATAAAAGTCCTTAACTTTTTTCTGTTCAAAATGTATTTAATGAGCGAGTTTATCATGAATCCATCAATCCGTGTTTTTGTCTTATCCTGAACCACTATGGTACACCTATAATAAGTGTTTACATTGGACTATTTTACACTGGTTCGGATCGCTGCCGCTGCGGAGTAGCCCAGTACCTGCGTGACTCGTCATAGACGTACACAGAGAGAAGTAGTTCCGGCTACAATGTTCTTCCGAAAGACGCATTATTCTGTTAATAAACGCAAGTTTATTATCGCTCGCTAAAGCGCCAAAAACTTAAAAAATAAAGCCTCACATTGATAAAGCCTCATAAATAACTTGCAAGTATTGAGGCCCCAGACAGCAGGCATTTAGTAATAGCCTATATTCTTTCTTTTTTTTACCTACACACCAGTGTGAATATTTGTTTTTGCATTTCAAATAGGGCCAATAGGCTTCTCCTAGGCTATTTTTTTAAATTACAAAGGGCCTACTGATGTTTTTGTTATTGTATTTTCAATATTATAGGTTATTATTTGTGCATAAACATATCTGGTTATAGTAAACACACTGTTCGTTTGAAAACAGCATATTTTGTCATCCTTGCTGCAAGCTTACAAGAGCGATAATATCATTAAATGTGAAAGGGGGCCCTTAAATATTTTCTTGGGAAAAAGGGGGTCTCAGACAAAAAAAGGTTGGGAATCACTGCTCTAGAGATTCTCTCCTGGCTTGACATTCATCTCCATTTCCCACCTGTTTTCTTTTTTTCTCTGATACAATAGAAGACAGGAGGCTACCCAAGTCTTGTTTTTGTTTTTTGGCAGCAGTTTGTTCTTCCTGCTCTGCCTGAGTTGACTCCATCCCTGATTGTATATTAGAGAGATCAGCTGTGGCAGCTTTTTGCAGTAGTACTTCTGTCACTTCCTTCTCCTTAATTACAAATGTGTTCTTAAATCTAGGATCAAAGAAGGTGGCTGAATTAAGAAGTATTTGTAAATTCTCATTGCTGTATCTCATTTCCAGATCTTTCCTGATCTCTGTTTTCATGTTGCAGGTTAGCACAGAGTCTGTATCACTGTCCTGTACATGTGAAAGTATCTTCCACATCACAGGGATGACAGAAGAAAGTGTTGTCTCTTTTTCTCCACACAGGGCATCAGTAAAGGCACTTAGTGGGCCCAGGACCTCTCGCACTGTCTCCATTGTGGTGATGTCTGTGTCAGAAGGCATTAGGCACCACTTATTTCTGTTTTCTGCTAAAGCAGCACAGATGGCTTGTTGCTGTTCACAGAAACGGTCCACCATATCAAATGTAGAACCCCAGCGGGTAGGTTCATCGTGAACCAGCTTGTGGTCTGGGAGGTGAAAGAGCTGTTGCTTTTCTTTTAAAAGCCTTGTCATTTTGTTCGATCTAGAAAATGCACACGATGCCACACGGTCCAGACTTGTAGCCTTGTTCACTGCCAGATGTAGGTTGTGGCCAAAGCAAGGAACCCAGTGGTAAGAATTCCCCTTAAATGCTTTGATGTTTGAGGATGCATTATCTGTTGTGATTCCACTCAGGTGTGTCATATCCAGTTTCCATGTTTGAGTTATTGTTTCTTCAAGGACCTCCCTGATGTTCTCTCCTGTGTGATCTGAAAGCATTGCAGCACATCCCAGACACCAGGACTGCATTTCCCAAGAGTCACTAATGAACTGAATTGTAACAGCCATATATGCGTCTACTGTTCGACTCGTCCAAATGTCTGTAGTACAAGCAAAGTAAGGCTGGTTGGACAGTTTTGATTCAAGCACAGACCTTGTTTCATTGTACAAAGCGGGAATCTCTTTCTCAGAAAAGCATTTTCTCCTTGGCATCTCATATCTTCTGTCAAGCTGTTCCACAAGGTTTCTGAACCCGGTTTTATCAACAATAGAAATGGGAATTTGGTCCATGCAAATAAACTCTGCAACAGCTCTGTTAAGTCGTTTTGCTTCTTCGGAGTGGCTTTCATATTTCCTTGTTGTTGCTAGCACTTCTGAAATAGTAGGCTGGCTACCTGAAGCTGAAGCAGCTTTTTTTGTTCCTTTCTGTGGGTGTCGCAACAAGGAAAATTTTAATTACATGTAGCAGTTCCGCATCACAATCCGTACAGCGCCGCTTCCGTAACATGAATCCGTACAGTGACCCTTTGAATCAAATGTACAATGAATCACTTCCAGGTCAAATGAAGTTATATATACCTTTGGAAACTGTGTTTTGTCATCTTTGATCTTCTTCACGCATTGTCGAAGTCCACGCCCTTTGAAGACGACATTTCAGCGGAAAGTACAATGACACCCAAGTGATATTTAAAAATGGCGGTGGGCAGGGATCTCGCGCAGACTCCGGTGAAGGAGGGAAAAGAGTCAGCAAATGAAATGAATGAAGTTTTGGTCATGTGGTCTATAGTATTGAAGTTAAATGTAATGGTTATTGGTGTTGAACATTTTTAACCTAAAATGTGTGTTATAAGGTTAATAAAACCCCATTTTAAACGGCGGTTTAAAAACTATGTTCACGAGGTCTTGGAAACGACCTGCGGTGACTGAACGCGCCATTTTTCGTTATGAACAATATTTTGCAGATCAGCGATGTAAGGACTTTAAAGTCAACCAAAGAGTCAAATGTGAAGTAAATTGTGTCATAATGAAATCTAACTACTATAAGACACCCTGCACGATGAGGCAATCATGATGCCCCGTTGTACGGTTTCATGTTACGCTCCCAACAATGACTGTATGGAATCTTGTGACGCGTAACATAGTTCCCCACCCAGCACAGCCTCAAGCAAATCACCATTTATGAGCATTTCATAGGCCAAAAATAAACCAATCAAAGCTAAGAAACGAAGATAAGACCCTCCCCCAGTAAATGACACATCAAAAGTTCATTGGTCTAATCCGGTAAGGATCGCACTGACGTTTTACGTGCCCGGAAGCGAGTTTTCGTGTACGGATTGTGATGCGGAACTGCTACACCATTAGCTGTCATGCATCAACAGAGAATTATTAACATATAGCATTTATTCATCTTGGTTTGCTTACTGTTTGGTTTGTGTATGGGTTCAAATTAGTTTAATGCATTCCATAAAGTAATGTTAACATGCTAAACTAGTATTAGTATATTTAAATAATAATTACTGATTCATCTAGATTAATAAATGTTATAATACTGTTAGGTCAGGTTACCTAATGAATGTTTACAAATGTAGCTTAATTGTAAAGTATTATTCTAACATTTTTATTAGTAATATTCATATTACACTATTACTCTCTCTCTCTTTTGGCTGATTCCTCTAGGGGTCGCCACAGCGGCAGTAATATGCCATTTATTTTACTATCACTAATACTAAAATTGATACTAATCTCTTTATTCATTCAAATTCAATTAATATATTATTGTTTGAAAGTGCAAAAATTATGAGACCTAAACTTCATTCATTTGTTCTAGCGTGTCATGCAAGAACATTTGAGCTTTCGTGTTTACCGTATCTTATTTCATTGATAAGCAGTTATGTAGGCTATGTGCGCTGATCAGTGTTGTGAATAAAAGTCTAAATTAAATCAGTTGAATGATGGACTCACCTGTCGATCTCTGAACTCCTTGAATAAGTCAGGATGAGCTAGAGACAAATGCTTAGCCAGATTTGAAGTGTTGCCTCCCGTTGCGACACATGATTTCAAACAGCGTTTGCATAGTGGTGCATTCAAGTCTGTAGCTTCACCTTTTTCATTACCTCTGTAGGCAAAGTAATGCCATATTTCACTCCTACTGCCTTCTTTATTGATTAATTGCGGGCGTGTAGAATTAGCTTGATCAGTTCGGTCCATCTTGTTTCTCCGTTGTCACTTTTTGCCGGTTTCAAGTGACCCGCGTGTGTTTGGGTAGCGCACTGCCGCCTAGCGGTGAACTTCGAAACTGCAGTGCATCAAATACCGAATTGAGCAAAATTATGATATTGTACCATTTGAAATATAATATATACCGGTATTTTTGCAGTACCGGTATACCGCGCATCCCTAATTGCTTGACTTATCAGTGGTCGAGGACCTTTTCAGTGTGCACTACACTTTTCTCAAAAGACTTCAGGCAGACTTGGACACATTTTCAGAAGCCTGGAATCATCATCCACTCTCCTCAGAGGGCAATCGAAGTCCAGAGCAACTGTGGCAGATTGGAATGATGCACACAAATATTGACCAATCGGAGAGATACGAGGTATGGTGACCCTGTTTATGTATTACTCTAACTGGATTTTTGACTATGTATTTAACTGCTATACCTTCAGGACATGGAAGAGCCAGATCTAGACTGGGACATAGCAGCTTCTTATGTTGCCGGTGAAGATTTCGGAGTTGTTGTTCCTGAATTTGAATCCCCTTTGTGTTCAGATGGGTTGAGGGCTCTCGAACACCTGCTGAATTCAACTGGTCCTAATATCCCTGTCAAAGAACTGTATTTGCTTTGTCGGGAGTTTGTTTCAACAAATAAGTTGTAACCAAAAAACACAAAGCATGCATAAAGACAGAACTGCATAGCGGCTTTATTTTGCATTGAAGCTTACTGTATATTGATGTACATCATTTTCATTTCTGAATTGAGTCTTGGAACAATTTTGCAGCAGTCTTTGCTGCATGTTTTGCAATACATGTCAATGATAAACAAAACTAAATAAAAAAATAAACTAAATTTAAATATCCAAAAGCTACTGCATCCCTATCCTTTTAAAATACTACACTAAACCAGTAACAGAGAGAACACAGTACAGGGAGTAAACTCTATATTAGGAATCCATCTCATGAACGACCAAATTCTCTGCTATTGCTCACAGCCTGCCTCATAATGTCAAGGAACTCTGTGTAAGTCCCTAGGGGTTGTGTAGGCAAGGTCACAGTACAGGAACATGCATTTACAAGAGGGTAGCATAAATTGTGCTCACCATATCGTAGCTGACAGTCATGATCAAATTCTATGTATATTTAAAAAAAATTCTCTTTGTGCAGAAGTAATGGGAACATGTTCCTGACCAGTAAGCCACTGCATGAAGCTGCTGACGATGATCTGGTCTTGTTCTGCGTCTCCTTTAGTGCAGTCCTCCGTTTCATCTACCTGTTCATTGTCATCCTCTCCTCTGCTCTTGTTACCACTGCTCCCTTCTTCTGCAAGAATACAAAAATCAAAAATGGAAGCTTTAGCGTTAAGTTCTGCCAGGAAGACTCAATTGCTACGTCACTTATTACCTTCTCATCTATCCAATCGTGTCTAATACTTGCGGTATAAAAGACCAGTACTTACACATGTCTGAGTTCGCAGATGCTGACGCTTTCATTCACCTCCATCCTCCCCACCACCACCAGGATGGTCCCTTCCCCTCCATCCTCCCCACCACCACCAGGATGGTCCCTTCCTATACCTCACAGGGGGTCGGCTGCGCCCCTGCCTTCGTCTTCAGGCAGGAAATGCAGAGTCCGGACCCTCGGATTGCGAGCTATGGACGGGGCCTACGCCAAAGAACTTTATTGCTTGCTGGGCTATCAATAAATGTATTTATTGTTACAGTATTTATTCTCCCGAGTCTTTCTGGTAGAACTGTATCTGCACCTTTACTTGTATTAGTATTCAAAGTATTCAAAAATGTTACCTTCGTCTTAAAGGCTTTGAATGAAGTCCTGCAAGTAGTTCACAATTCTTGATTCCCTCTGCCTTTTTACTGAACCCACCTCACTTAAAATGGGTGACAGGGCCATCGTGAGAAAATCCGTATCAGGCTGCAAAGAACAACCTTTTATTAGCCACAACTCAAACGCCATTATGATAAAAACGCAAGTAACAACACTTACTTTTGTAAAATGGCCAGGAACAAATAAAGGCTGAAATAAAGACTGATTTTGTTTCAACATTTCATGGAGGCCATAGAGCTCCAATCCTTTGCACATCTGCTGTAGCATTGGTAGGATTCGCACAGAAGAATGCAGGACAACAGCACTGCATATTAGAGTAAATCCAGAAAACAAGTAAGTGTACAAAAAAACAAACTTGTGTTCATAAAGATTAATAAAAGTCGTTGGTTCAAACAAGAGACTGAGTATAGAACATTAACCCTTGTGTATCAGTTAAAAAAAGTCACACATAGGTCCATAGTGGACAAAAATGCCAGTGTCAAAAAATTGTCATAAAAATTTGAAGCTTGGAAGCACAGACTTAAGGTTATATTAAGTTTATGCAAATGATTTATGAAGTATATTTTATATAAAATATATATTTTATGAAACATGTTTAACTATAAAACTTTTTCTCTCTCAAATATTACAAGCACACACACATTTTTTTTTATTACACACTCGCAAGGTCTCTCCCTCTCTGCCGTGTGTGCGCTATGCATGTTATGCGCGCAGTATGTTCTGTCTCGCATGCGCGCTCTAGATTCCGGGAGATTTGAACTAATTCGCGGGAATCAGGGAGAAGCTATCAATATGCGGGAGACTCCCGGAACTTCCGGGAGACTTGGGATGTCTGTGGTCATAGAACTCACAAACATGTCACCGGCAACAATAGTGACCGGTGGGATAACCCATTGTATCTACATGCTAATACACATTGGCTAACTGTTCTACCTTACTTTCTGCTGCTACCTAACTTTCTATCTAATTTTACACACAGACACACACACAGAAACGCACGCACACACACACACACACACACACACACAAACACACACACGGACCCAAGGAAGACTAGCTAGCTAGCTAATTTGGCTAGCTAATTCTGCTGCTACCTAACTTCCTACCTACTGCAACTTTCCACACACACACACACACACACACACACACACGAAGACTAGCTAGCTAACTAATTCTACACTCTAAAAACTAATTCAGAGGACCTTTAGTCATTACTTAAATATATATATATTGTTGTGATATAAAAAATCAAGTTCTGAGATCCTGTTACAGTTTTTACTTGTAATTTTTATCTTATTGAGCTTGGATGACACACAAATTGTGCCTATTGATTAAATATACAATCATGAGTTGTCAGAGTTTAACATTTTCAGTTAATACAAAATAATTTAAATTTAAGTTCTGTTAATGTAAAATACAATTTGATGACGTGTAAACGGCCCACAGTTTCACCCGCATGTGCGCGCATGTTCAAGGCCAGACGAGTGACTACAGCTGAAACGCATTGAAGCGCGTGGTGAATGGTAAGTAATTTTATGCTTAATTAGTACACATATTTGCAATCGCTCAGGATTCTGTTTGTGATGATAGCCTACTGTAACCGAATACCGAAATCTGGAAGTCCTTAAAGGCCCTTGCACACTGAGTCCGAAATTCGCGGCTGAAATTTTTGCACGTTAAAAAATAAATACGACGTTATGTCAATCACACTTGCACCTACCGCCGAAACTTTAGTCCCTCGTAAAAAAAAAAAAAATTGGATCGGGTTAGATTTTCTACGTATTTCGTATCTGTAGATAGCAGTTTGAATGGTGTTTGAGTGGTGTTTTGACAATTCAGAGCCACCGAATTACGAATCCGAAAAAACGTATAGGTTACGAAAATGTCGGACTCTGTGCAAGGGCCTGCAGTAGGCCTACAGTCTGTGTGCCAAGCTTTCTTTTACTGTCTATGGTGCCGAGGTAAAGTTAGCTAGTAGCTGTAGCCTGTCACTGATTGAGTAGCTACACTATTTGTTCAGATACTTTGCTCAAAACCAGTCGGATTTATGTAGGGCCCTAAGAATTACGTTTTATTTTTTCCTAAATTTCGTTTTATTTCTTTTTTCCAAATTTCCTTTTTTCGGTTTAAAAATTTTGGAATATCATTTTTTTTACCTTTTTCTCGTATTTTACCACAAAAGAGTGTTTTTTTAATGTTTATGAATAAAATGTAACGTTATACAAATGAAATAAAAATGACCAGCGTCTGTCTCCTGTTTTCTGCTGTTAGCGAGCAGCTGCTCTCTCCCCGGGCCTCAGTGCTTGTTTTCAACAGAAACACAAAAAAGCCTGCTCTCCATTGTCTGTTGAGAATTTATGGAAGAACCATATTTCATTTATAAGGGTAATAAGTTAATATTCATGTTAAGACAGTTAATGTGATAAATAATTTTTAAGAAAATTGATGCTTTACGTTGTATTAGAAAGGACAGTAATGGTAATACAGTTCATTTTAATGTTTTGAAAGGAAAATGTATTAAAAGATGAATGTTACATGTATGTTTAAAAGAAAAATATATTACAATTTAAAAATGGTGCTAAAAATATAAATAGTGATTGGAAAGCTGTTTAAAAATATACATAATTCCTTATAAAAGTCAGTAATTTCAGTTGTGTTATTTAAAATGCAGATTGTGAATTCTTGATGAATAAGTGTTTTGTTTGCACTAAAATATCCATCCTCCACGAGCAACCCTTAAAATGTCCCTGACATTTTCGTGTTATAATTTATCTTATTACCAGCATGACAAGGCTTGCTTTAAAATTGGCCCCCATCACAAAAAATTTAACTTTTTCCTTCCCCTGAGATGATGAGCGGTCAGAGTCCATCTACAATTAGTGATGATGACACAGGTGAAACTTGTTTAGTCACTATTGAAGACTCATAAGTGAAATTGAATATTGTGTGTGTGCGTGCGTGCGCGCGTGTGTGTGTGTGTGTGTGTGCGCGTGCGTGTCCGTGTGTGCGCAGGAGTGGCTTTCTGCCGTGATCCAGTATTCTGGTGTCGTGGTTCAAGTTGAGATGTGATCAGCCTCCTAAAGAAAGCCGTGAAGAAGTACGGGGTGAGACAGAAACATTAACACTTTCCTTTTGTAATTCAGATATATATATACTTATATGTATATATTTATACAGTAAATAAATCAGTTGTGTTCACACACACACCTCCTTGAATCATTTTACTTAATTTATCTCCCTACTTAGGTCTTCAGTCCCTTTGCCGTGGGCCTTGCAAGGACAAACAACTTGCCTTCATCTTCTCCTGGTATCCTGGTGTCGTGGACCAAGGGGTTCAAGTTGAGACGTGGTCAGTGTAAAGAAGCATGGAGTGAGACAGAAACATCAAATATGGATTGGCCTTGCAAAATCTGTACATTTGCGACCCCTACTAAAGACGAGTTGTTGAAACATTATAGGTTACGTCATATCCGCGGTGGGCAACTTCTGCCATGTCCTTACATGGATTGTTTTTGTTCATTTAAATCATGGGGTAGCCTAAAATCACATATATCAAGGAAACACTCAACTCACTCAAGAGTAAGAACCTCTGAAATACTCAGTTTCTGTTGCCAGGTCTGTAATGTAGGCACATTCTCCACCGAAAAAGAGTATTTTGAACACCTTCGTCAACATTTGAAAAAGCAAGAAACTGTCATCTATGTTTTCAAAAATTGCAATTTCAAAACTAATATCTGTGGAACCTTTGCTTCGCATAAAAATCGCAAGCATACTCCCCACTCATTAGATGAGTTCAAAGACGATGTGATAAAGAGGTATGAAAACCCTTCACAAGCAGATCAGTGCAGTGATGGAGTAAATCAGGAGGGTGAGCAGTCTGATATTGATGAGCTTAGAGATGATGATTTAAGAGTACTGCCAAAGTTGATTGAAAGAAGCTTGGCTCATTTAATGTTGAAATTAGAGAGTTCCTTTCATGTACCCAACCAATGCATTGATGAGCTTGTAGAGGAGCTGCATTTTATTTCTCATTCAGCCTCTGCTCCCATCATGAAAGACATTTTACAGTCTTGCTTGAAGGGGCACAACTGTGAAATTGATGAAGCCATTGTATCTGAAATGGTGAACGACATTTGTGGGGCTAACCCTATTAGTTCTTCCCTCTGTGATGGTGGGCCTCTTTCCTCTGCCTTTAAAAGAAGAAAATACTTTAATGAACACTTTTCTGTCGTTGAACCGATTGAGTATGTTCTTAGTAGAGAGAGCAGCTTCCAGTATGTCCCCATTCTAAAGTCATTACTTCCGGTTTTTAGCAAGAAAGATATACAGGACCTGATCTTGAGTGAGGCAGAAGCTCAGAGAAATGTGTACAAGTCATTTCATGACGGCACCTTTTACAAAACCAATGAGCTGTTCTCAGGAAGTGATCTTACCAATGCTCTCAATCTCTATGTGGATGACTTTGAGATATGCAATCCTATTGGTACATCCAGGAAAAAACACAAAATCACAGCTGTGTATTGGGTGTTAGCTAATGTAGCCACATTGAGATGTGCCTTAATTAGCTCAAATTACGCATAGGGAATTTTAATGATTTGGAGCGGACACAGATCTCTTTGTCCTGTGGGGGGATTCCCACATGACTGACTCGTGAGGAGATTGTATTTGAGCGTTCGGCTCCTGAAATATGAAATGTGTAAAATAATGCACCTTACTTCATTCTGCTATCGGAATTCGGCTCCGTTAGATTGAGCGAATTACAGACATATCAGACACGTCACATGAAGATTATCGGAATACAGAGTTACATAAGATATGCATTTTATAAGCATTTAATGTTCCTTCACACGACTATAAAGCCATAATACCGGCTACCGTGACCTAGGAAATATCAAACTCATGTTTATGCATTTCTTAAGTGGTTATACTTATAGACAATATAAGATTGCAGAGGCTATTCCTCTTTCTTCATCAGAATTCAAGTGGGAGCTGTGATTTCCCTTGGAATTCCTTTTGGGAGTCATAAAGTTTTATGACCTAGCAAGAGGGAGAGTTATAGAATCTTTCTTTAGAAATAAACTTTAAGGTTCGAAGTTACAGAACAGTTAAAATTACATCTATAGAATAAGACAAGACTAATTAGATATGCATGCATACAGGAAGGTTGGATACAATTCTGTGTTATATACATTATAGGACATTCTTATCCTAAATTATGCACAAAGACGTCTGTGTTCGTGCATCTGTATGTGTGGCGTGCATCTGTCCATCCGTGGTGTGTGTGTGTGTGTGGAATGGGCAATTGTCCGTCAGCATTCAGGC